GTTAAATAATAGTTGATTTGCCTTGATTGATAGTTTAAAAGGGCAATTATTTGTACTTACTTTTTTTTTTTGGAATGAATATGCCCCTACCCTTTTATTTAAAAAGTAGATTTGAGGGTTTTGCCAATTGACAACATTTAAAATAAGTCTTATTTTGTAGGGCTGAATTGCTAATGCAGGTTAAATGTGAGCACTTAAGTGATAGGCAAAAGGAAGTTGAGGACTAATGGGCCATATAGGACTTGAAACTAAAGGCGGTTTTTGTAGGACCAAACAAATATGAATGTGGTTCGATTTGTTTTCTTTTGTTATCCATAGCTTCAAGAAGTTAGGAAAAGGAAAAACAACAGTGGAAGGATGGGAATCATCATTATTTTGGGATTCAAGAAGTATAGAGAGGCGATTGAAGGTTTATTCTTCCATTTAATACAGTTTATAACTTGTTTGACTCAACTAATCCAATCCTCAGTCCACAACTAATCAACCATGACCTAACCATTTTAGCAGATTCAAGGCTCTTTTCTCATCCCACATAATAACACCATGAAATTGATATGAACACATTTATAAGTCAATATCTTCCATGCGAGGGAAATAGCCTATTAGGATTAAAGTGTGTAATATCATTCATATGAGAAAAATAGCATTAAAAGTGTATATATAGAATACGTTTGTAAAGCATCTAGATGACGAATTCTTTTCATAATGCAAGCAGATGTGGAAATTTTGGAAAACCACTCAATTAGCTAGGGCGGCCTGTCTATGGTATACTTGAATCACTAAAAACAAAAAAGAAGATAGATCAGCACATAGCCAACATATCTAAAAGCTTGATAGGAAATAGAGGAAGAAAAGGTATATAATCCAAAAACTTAATTCAACAATTTCTATAACTAAAATAATTGTACAGATTAATGGCATGGAGCGAAGGATGGTGGAGCCTAAGAACTCTTCCTCTATTCATAAGAAGTTGTTTTGGGTAGATTATGTGTTAAAGAAGGAAGGTGTGAAATAGTTATGGAAGTTGGTGGCACCCATCAAAGGATTCACTGTGAAACAATAACAAGAAAATTTATCCATGATGTAAAAAATTTAAGGAGAAATAACACTTCCAGCGACTAAATGCAAAAAACTTCCATTAGCCAATATGATCAGACTAAAATAACAAGTGAATCAATAAAGACTAATGGTGTGTTTGGCATTGCTATAAAGTGCT